ATGGTGTGTCGAGACCTGTATTTCTAGCACACAGTTCTATTGTGTGGGGTAATGGCTTTTGTGTTGTACAGTAGATTGTCCCTGAGTTTTTTTAATAGTTGTGAGTTTAGTGACAACAGCAAATGCTTTTGAAAGTTCATTAGAAAAATGAGTTCCCTGTTTCCAGATAATCTCTCCGGAATGAGGGTTTTCAAGTAGGTCAAAGGTTGTCTTCTGAACAAGCAGTGGTCATAATGCTTTCCTGGTCAAGGAAGCTCAGGGTGTCCTGGAAGCTTAAGAGTGTGACTTTTGTTTGGGTCCAAAGAGATCCCTCCATACCACCCTTCTTATTCTTCACTAAATACATTGTGAAGAATACATTTAATTTTTTAATTAAAATTTTAATTTTATTTGTATGGGTGTTTTGCCTGCATGTATGTCTGTGCATGAAGTGCTTTCAGAGGCCAGAAGAGTGTCAAGTTCCCTGGAATTAAAGTCACAGATGGTTGTGGGATGCTATGTAGGTGCTAGGAATTGAACCCAGATCCTTCTGAAGAGTAGCAAATACTTTCAACCTCTGAGCCCTCTTTAGCCCCTGAATTGCATAGTTTATTGTATACTTTCATTGTATATTTTTGTGGTGCTGATCATGACATCCTCTGCCTCAAGAATACTAGGCAAGTGTTCTGCTAATGAGTTCTACCTATTTTCCTTTTTGTGACAGCATCTCGTATTTTCCTCTTGCTGGCCTCAGAGTCAATCTTGCTTTTCAGCTTCCAGGCACAACTTGTTTTGTAACTTTCAGTTTTTAAAGATGATGCTTCATGTAGCCCAGACTAGTCTTGAACTATGTAGCTGAGGATGACCTTGACTTTCTCATTCTCCTTCCTCTACCTCCTAAGTACTAGGATTAGAGGTTTGTCCTGCTGTGCCTGGTTTACGTAGTGTTAGGAGTGTAATCCAGGCTTTTGTGATTCTCTGCAAGTACCACTAACTGGTATATCCCTGGCCACTTGCATTATAAAAATTTTTTAAGACTTTTATTTTTAATTACATGTAGAGATGTACATGTCAGTGCAGATGTCTGCAGAGACCAGAAGAAAGTGTCGTGTTTCCTTTGATCTGCCTGATGTGGGTGCTGGGGATTGAACCTAGTTCCTTAGGAAAAACAGCCACTCTTTACCACTGAGCCCTCTCTCCAGACCCCGCCTCCCCTACATTGTACAATTTTGTTCTGTTTTATTATTTTGTTTTTTCAAGGTAGATTTTCTCTGTAGCTTTGGAGCCTGTCCTGGAACTAACTCTTATAGATCAGGCTGGCCTGATCTCACAGAGATCTGCTTGCCTCTGCCTCCCAAATGCTGGATTAAAGGCATGCGCCACCACTGTACAGCTTATACATTTGTTTTAAGCCTTTATTTTATGTGTATATTGTTTTGCCCTCATGTATGTCTGTACACCGCATACATGGTGCTCATGGAGACCAGAAGAGACCATTTCATCCCCTGGGACTAGAGTTACAGAGCTAGTAGTTAGCCACTGTGTGGGTTAGCACGTAGTGACTGGAGGAGCAGCCAGTGCTTCTTGCTGCTCATTGTAAAACCTTCATACTTTCTTGATGCCTCAGTATCCTTCAGGCAAGTCTCTCAGACGTACTAGTGTGATAAGGACGGTCTGTGCCTCAAGTTGTTTTCATTGCCCCACTGATAGTGACCTAATTATCAATTAAATCCCTCCACAACTTTTGCACCCAGACTCTCAGGAAAGACTCCTGTGTTTTTCAGTGACAGAAATGCGAGAGAAATGTGCAACATTCATGGAAAGATGAATTTAGGCTCACTGTTTTAGAAGTTTCAGTCCGTGATCTTGTTGCCCCATGGATTTAGGCTTTAGGTGAGACTGAGCATCAAGATGCAAGAGCGTGGTGAAGGAGGTTGTGTTGTACCTCTTGGCAGCCAGAACAGGAAAAACCACAGGATGGGGCCAAGGACAAGACACACCCATCAAAGGGAGTCCCCAGTGACCTACTTCCTCCAGCTGGGTCTCCCGGAAATATCTACCATCTTTCAGTAAGGCTGCCTGTGATGGTTTATACTGATTTTCTACCTGATAGTACCTAAAATTGTCCAGGAAATGAGCCTCTGGGTATACCTGGGAGAGATCAGGCAGATTTGGGCGGGGGCACCCTGAATAGACAGCATGGTTCTGTCTTGGACTGGGAGGAAAGTACCGCGCAGCAGTATCCACGCCTGCTTCCTTGACTGTCTCAGGTCCTGCTGTCGTGACTTGGCCAGGGTCGGCTGTACTCTAGAACTGTGAGCTGTAATACATTTTTCTTCAAGCCACTTCAGTGAGGATGTTTCTTCACAGTGACAGAAACACTGATGAGGTCAGAGCCTTCTGGAGCCGTCAGTCTCAAACCCTGCCTCTGAACATGCAGTTTTAGGAATCGTGCTTCTGACATGAACCTTTCTGTAGGCCTTCACTTTCTTTCAGCTGTCCTCCAATTTGCTACAATTCCTTTGTTGTGTGTGGTTCCCTGTTTTTCTGTATGGTGTTTCTCTCTAGCACCTGTGAATAAATCTTCAGTTCACATCATTTTTCCAGTCTGACAGAGTGATCCTCGAAGACCTCATGAAGACTCACTCTCCAGTTTACAATATATTGACCAGTGCCCTAATTTTCTCTTGAAACATTTGATATTGATCATGGTTGTCATTTGTCCTGTTAGATTTTGTGTTTGCACTAATAGCCTTGTAGTATTTCTTCCTTCTAATTTTTTCAAAAATTCATTAATTTATTATTTGTTTTGGGTCAGTCATGCTATGTAGCCAAGGCTGCCTCAGCCTCCTTTGTGCAGGAATTACAGGTATTCACCATCACACCTGGCAGGTCTTAGATGGTGGAGCTGAGTGTTAAGCACATTTAAAAGACTATCTGAGGACTGGGGAGATGGCTTTGCAAGCGGGGAACGTGGGTGGGTTTGAGTCCCTAGTACTCATGTTAAAAAAATATGTTGGATGTGGTGATGTGGGCTGTAACTCCAGTGCTAGAGGGATGCAGAGACTGGACTCCTGGAGCCCACTGCCCTGCCAGTCTAGAATACAGTCTGGTCTAAATTTAGTAAGAAATACTGTCTCAAAAAATAAGAGCCATAGAGGAAGATTCCAAATAGCAATCTCTGGCTTCCACATATGCCTGCACAGGCAAGTACAGCCACATATATAAGTAAATAAAAGAGCTTTTTTTTTTTTTTAAGACTTACAAAATTAATTTTTCCATTTATTTATTTTGTGGGTGTTGTGAGGTGTGCTCATGCTTGGGCTATGGAATAAGATAATATCTCAACAAAACATACCATCATGGTTGGGGATATTGTGGGAACATACTTACTACCATGCATGAGCCCTTACGTTCTATCCCAACATTGGCTCCTGGCAGCTAAAAGCATGTGTTCGGCCTCCCAAGACAGGAGCCATAGTTGACAGTGCAGCTCAGTCACCCACAGATGATATTGTGGTTCATTTGATTTTACTGGGTGTCTTTCCCACTGTAAGGAGCGCTGAGAGTAAGCTGCATAGGGATTTTGTGAGGGTGGATTTTGTTGGTGGCTAATGGGCTATGAGACTCTTAGGGTTTGGTGAAGCACACTGTGTAGAACACTAGGTAAGATGTGTTCTGTTGGATCTATAACATCTCATTTGTGGGGAGAGAACGTACGCCAGTGTGCATGTGGCAGTAAGGAGTCAGCTCCCTCAGTCTCCCATGTGGGACACCAGATTCAGCAGTAAGAACCTTTGCCTGCCAAGCCATCTCATTGGCCCTTATTTTTGCATGTGTGTGTGGGGGTTGGATACTGGGAATTGAACCTGGGGTGTGACATGTGCTAGGCAGGGCTGTGTCACTGAGCTACATCCTTAGCCCTCTTTTTCTTTTTGAGACAGGAGCCCACTAACTTGCCCAGGCTGGCCTTGAACTCATTTCGTAGCCAAGCTAGCTTTGAGCTTTGATCCTATCATTGATCCTGTCATTTTGCTTCAGCCGCCCCAGTAGCTGGAATTACAGGTCTGGGTTTGTTCTGTTTAACTATTGCTATTTGGCCCAGACTGGCTTTGAAGTCTTCTTACTTCTGTCTTGAAAGGTTTGCAAAGCCTCCCCAATCATACCTGGTTTTCATGGGCTTTTGTGTGTGTTTTTAAAGTGTTAATCTTTAAAATACATATGGCAAGGTAACAATAAAAGAAAAAATGAAGGAAATTGTTGAAGAAATGGAAAAAAATCTTGAAAACAAAAACATCAACCTCTCTGGCTGGGGATTCAGCTTCAGTGGTTTAGCATCATGAGAAGAGGGACTTCAGTCTATGCCAGCACTCAGAAGGTAGAGGCAGGACTGTGTTCAAGGCCAACCACATCTTCCTGTTGGGCGGGAGGCTGGATAGAGAAGAAAAGGGCAAACTTAATACTTATTTTATTTCTAAAACACCTGGTACTCTTTACTTTAAAAGGTCTGCATACTGAAGAGCTGGGCGGATTCCGGCCAGTCCTTGACTCTGTACCAGTATGAACAGGAAAGGGCATTTATTATTTTATATATATTATTCTAGTGTTTCCAACCAAGACTGTAGTGCTTGAAATGTGCTCTGAGTTGGTGTGTGTGTATGGTGTGTGTGTGTATGTGCAGAGGTCAGAGGCAAATGTTGGGTGTGTTCTGCAGATAGTGTGGGCTGCCATGTGGGTGCTGGGAATTGAACCCAGGTCCTCTGGAAGAGCAGGCAGTGCTCTTAACCACTGAACCATCTCTCTTGCCCTCAATTCCTTTAAAAAGCAAAATCCCTGTCAATTCTTATTCTAATCTCTTGTCAAAGATGATGCAGCCAGTGTTAGTTTTCTTTCTGTGTTGCTATCTTGTCCCAAACCAGTTTGCAGTTTTGTGCTTCCTTTGTGTATATATATGCAGGACTTTCTCCTCCCCTGCTTGATTTTCCCTGTAGCACTTATGTTATGATTATATTTCCCCATAGGACTTCTAGATCTTTACAGAACAGGATATTTTCTGTATCCTTCCCTGCTCTGCTCATGCCTACCACAGGAATAGGACTTCCTAATAATTTGCTGAAAGAATTAAAGAATAAGCCAGACCTGAAATAAACTTCCAGTACCTACAGTAAATGAAATAGAAGAGGTAAGATTATTTGTAATAATGTTTTTATTTTTACCCGTATATTGAAAATACCATTTTAGTACATAATATAAAATTTAGATGCTTACTTTCTTTTCCAGACATTTGATTTATGTTTATGATAATGAGGTTAGTAGTTTTAAAAGATTTGGAACCTGGGGGTATAGATTAGTGGTAGAGTATGTGGTTAGGTTATATGAGGCCCTGGGTACAGTTTACAGTTTACACAAGACTGGGTATGTAGCCCCATGATAGAGTGTTTAGCTAGCATACACAAGGCCTTGAGTTCCCAGCACCACATAAACCAGACATGGTGGACACATCTGCAGTTCTAGTAGCTGTGAGTTAGAAGTAGAAGGATCAGAAGTTGCATGATGAGTTCAAGGCCAGCCCTTATAACACACTATATGAGATACTTTCCTTAAAAAAGAAAGAAAAGAAAAGTAAGATAGATTCAAATAGACAAGGTTTTCCAAACTTCTTGTTTTATTTTTTGAGACTTTTTTTTTTTTTTTTTTTTGAGAAAGGGTTTCTCTGTGTAGCCCTTGCTGTCCAGGAAGGTCAGGCTGGTCTCAAACTCACAGAGAACTGCCTGCCTCTGCTTCCTGAGTGCTGGGATTTAGGCATGCGCCACCCCTACATCCCCAGTTTTTGTTTCTTAACTTGGTATCTTTATGTGAGGCCCTAACTTACGGTCTTCCTGCCTTGGCCTCTTAAGTGCTAGTATCAAGTGTGTGACATCGGGCCTTGCACCAGACATACTTAAGAGTTGTCAAATAGCAGTCATGTTAATTTTTAAAAACATTTCAGTTTTAGTTTTTTAAAATTAAGTCATAGTATGTAGCTATGAAGTAGTCATTTACATATGGAGTAGTGAATCCTGAGTAGTGCTGTGGTGGGCCCATGTTTGGTCATGTTAGGGATCAATAGTGGTCATAGGAAATCAAACTTTCTGGACAAACTCAGCTTCATCAAGTCTCGGTTCATTTCCAAGCAGGTAATACTAGACTAGTGCTGCCTGGATGTGGGTGTTTAGTGTGGGTAACATCTACTGATATCTGCTGTGTAGGATGGTTATGATAACATGGGAGTTAGATACGTAAAGGTGCTAGCACATCTTCTGACAAAACTGATAAATGTAAATGAGTATGGCTATTGTTAGTAAGCAGATGTTTGCTGGTGGGTTCACATATATTATCTGCAGAGAGTGAGCACTATTGTGTGATGTTTGCTGACTGACGTTCGATGTTGTTGATTAATGATTGATGTGAACAGGACTCCATATAACCCTGTATTAAGAGGAATGGAGATTGCCTCTGTCCACTTAGATTCATAAGCTGTCCCGAAGTGATCTTGGCCTCAGGGAAGGGAGTGTTCAGGCACATTTCACCATCAGCATCACGGGATGGCAGCCATTGATTTGTCCCATGGTAAGTCCTTGTTGAAGCTCTTTTTTAGACTGTTTTAGGTCTCTCCTGTACAGCAAAGTCCAGTGGGCAGGGCTTCAGTAGTCTTGTGTGTTCATTCACAAAGAACTGAAATGGGTCACATAATAGTGCTCTGTGATTTAGGGTCCCGGTGTGTATGCTTTCTGAAGAGGTGCTGTATAATTGTCATGAGTTCTGTCACCAGGGGCAATTTAGAGTCATGTTTTTCTTTTTACTTTTTGTTTTATTTAATTATTATTGTGTGTATGTATTTGTGTGAGTGAGGGTACATGTGGAAGTCAGAGGATTTTTTTGGGAGTCAATTTTCTCCTTCTGTTGTGGAATCCTGGGATCAAACTCTGGGCATCAGGTCCGAGCACTCAGACTAGCCTGATGGTGCCATCTCACCAGCCCCAGAGTCAGTTTTTTTCACATCTTAAGTTTCTCTGCTAAGTGAGAACACTCCCTTCCTCAGCAGGTAGCACAGTTCCTAGCCTGCTTCCCTGACTCCAGAGGAGACGGAAGTGCTTTGGCATTTCTTGGTAGGAACATGTATTTATGTGGTATGATGAGTGTGCAGATCACAGGGGAATGTCATACTAGAGTGAAATGACTTCATGGCTCTGGGATTTGATGCCGTCTTTCTTTCCTATCAGGCCTTCTTTCTAGAGAGCCTATCTACATCTATGAAGAAAACACAGAGGTAGAAGAGACAGTGACTGACAACCAGGCAAATTGTTACCAGGTAAAAAGAAAGAATATCATTGTACCAAATAGAATTTTTCATCTGTGATCTAGATGTTCTTCCTTCTGGAGTCTAGAATCTAGACAGACTCACCCTCCAGGATTTAAAGGAAATGCATTTTCCCTTGGGGCTAAAGTGTGTCTGATAGATTTTCCTAGGGAGCAGAGCCTTATATTGGTGACATGTTACCTTGCAAACCATACTAGCATTTCTGTAATTGCTGTGTACTGTGTTTGCTTGGCTGGGGATTGAACCAGAGCCTTTTTAGCCATGTTAGGCACATCCTTTACCACTGAGCTGTATCCCCAATCGACTAGGTAATCTTTTTATTTCTTTGTTTTATTTAAGGTCTGGCTATATAGCCTAACCTTGAACTCAATAGTCCTGGCTAATCTCAGCCTTCCTCCCCTGTCGTAGACCTACTTACTAACCCTGAGCCTCATGTGATACCTATATGTTTTTTGTTTTCTTGAGTGCTCTGGCATATGATAAGACTGGCAAGAGCACCCTTTTCTCAGATGATCTACTTATTACATACTGCAGTGAGACAGTAGGACCAGAAGAGCGTCTCTTTGGCTGTGCTGGTAGAAGTCATGCTTAGGAAGTGCTGCTGAAATCATGTGACAGTAGAAGGTCAGCAGAGTGAGGTTAGAGAGAGTTCCTGGGGCCATTGATTCCTGCAGCTGGATTGAGGCTGATCTTGAGAACCATGGATAGGTATTAGGTCTACCTTCCTAATTTTCCATCGAGTACTAGCAAGACTCAAACCAACATATGTGTGATGGTTTAGGATTCAGTGACCTTCGATGATGTGTCTGTGGAATTCACCCAAGATGAGTGGACGTTACTGGACCTGACTCAGAGAAACCTGTACAGAGAGGTGATGCTGGAGAACTACGAAAACCTGACCTCCGTAGGTAAGGCTGCCACATTCCTCATTACCTTTTATGAAACAGGCACATACTGCATGCTTCTTAATGTGTTAGGAATTGATCGTGTTAATTATGAGTATAATGGAATAGGTGCAATTTTTAAAATGAAACTGCTTTTGTGTGTTGGTGGGATCGAGGGACTCACACCTTTAATTCCAGCACTTGAGGAAGAGGCAGAAACAGGTAGATTTCTGAGTTTTAAGGTTTATATAACAAATTCCAGGCCAGGCTAAGAAACCAAGGCTATATAATAAAAAAAAAATTAATAAAGAAAGAAAGAACAAAACAAAAAACCAAACCCAAAACTGACTTTTTGTAAGCACGCACATGGCACATGCTGTCATGCAGAAACCAGAGAGGGGCATTTGTTGTTTTCTTCTATCACTACCTTATTCTTTTGAGGCAGGCTTTCTCCCTGAACTAGAGCTCTTGTGTTTTCAGCTACTCAGCCCTATCAATCCTGTCTACCCCGCACTCCTGCACAGGACTGTAGTTACAGGCATATTCAAGATCATGCTCAGCTTGTTATGTGGGTTTCTGAGATCAGAACTCAGGTTCCTGTAATTGTGCAGCAAACCCTCTTAATCACGAGCCATGTTCCCAGCTCCAACAAATACAATTCTTTTTTTTTTTTTTTTTTTGGTTTTTCGAGACAGGGTTTCTCTGTGGTTTTGGAGCCTGTCCTGGAACTAGCTCTTGTAGACCAGGCTGGTCTCGAACTCACAGAGATCCGCCTGCCTCTGCCTCCCGAGTGCTGGGATTAAAGGCGTGCGCCACCACCGCCCGGCAACAAATACAATTCTTACCATGATACATAATAATCCACAGTGCAGTTCTTTTCTTTTCCCTTTCTTTCCTCTCCCCTTCCTCCATCCAGTATACTCCCCACCCTCCTTCAAATTCATGGTCTCTTTTCATTAATTGTTGGTGTGTGTATGCGTATTCCTAAATATATAATTACAGTCTACAAAGTCTGCATAGTTTTACTTATATTTACGTTTTCAGGTTTACTGATTGGGTAACCGATTGCTGTGGTCTTCTCCCCCTCTTAGTATACCTTGGTTGTCTGTAGTTCTCTATGTGGGGTTGAGACCTCATGAGCTTCCTTGAGCCCCTCCCATATGAGCCTGTCTGTTGGAGTTCTCCTTGACCAGCTCATTTAGACAGTCATGTTCTTGGTAATTTATGGGTGTAGCTTCTGACATTACTAAAAGATATAATTACAGCAAAGTCTCTGATCCTCTTCTTCCAAAATGTAGAAATGTCTCCTGAACCTTAGGTGCAGGAGTTGTTTTATAGCTGTATCCATTGTGACATCAGCATTTTGATGGGTTATTGTTTTCCAAAGAGAAGTCTCTTTGGGGGTGAGGACTATCCTTATATGTGGGATATAAGACAAATATGTAGAATACAGTTAGATTATGCTGATTTGCTAAGTGGTGACTGTAGATTCTGCAGGATCCACAGTTTCCAGTATTAGGTATGATTTACTCTCAGGGAGTCTCAAGGCCAGTTAGAGAGCTGATGTTACCTTCAGGGTATACGTGTCACTTTTCTGTCCTTACGGTTATCATGCCACGCTGGTTGTTGTTGTGGTTCAGAGGTATCATAGCTGGGTTGGACTCATTTGCTTCCGCTTTGGAAGCTTGCATGGCGCCTTCTGGTACCATGAAAACCAGTTCTCATGTAGGAGACATTCAGTCGTTTCTGGATCAGGGATCAGGGGCCTTGTGTCTGAGGCGCTTGGTGTCATCAGCAATTGGGACTTAACCTTCTGCCTTTATGGGCCAACTAAGGGCAGCAACAATAATCTGTAGTGTTTTTGAAGTCTCTTGGACAACCCTGTTCCACAACTCAAAAGTTCTCATATCCAATGTTGAGTTTTTGTTAGATGGTCTTGGCTATTTGAGGGTGTATTGTCAGTTCAGGTCGGAAAACTTCATTTAAACCGTGTGCCTATATTATACACACCAACTTAGGTGTACAATGGGTATTTTTAGGTAGTCAATATTATGATTCCTTAAAGCTTTTTCAGATATCCTTACTGTTATTTTACCCTCTCTCCTTCTGTATATTCTCCCTCCCTCTTCCTAATTAAAGCCCGTCCCCCATTTTTTTTTTTCCCATTTCAGATCACCTAAATTCTGTTCTTTCTGTTACTGCCCCACTCTCCTGACTCCAGCAAGGGTTCTTTCTACTTTCCTGGTTTCTACAGCTGCTCCAGATTGTGTACTCATCTGGGTGCCTCCGATCTGAGAACATAACATGTCTGTCATAGTTATATGGACCACATTTTCATTGATTAAAGGGCGTTTAGCTTGATTCCACTTCCTAGAACAGAGCAGCACTGAACATGGCTGAGCAACTGTCTGTGGAGTAGGATTTCAAGTCCTTGGACATATGCTAGGGAGTGGTATAGCTGGGTCATATGGTAGATGTATTTTAGCTTTTCGAGAGTTCTCTACACTGGTTTCCATGGTGGCTGTGTCAGTTTGCAACCCACCAGCAGTGGATGGGGCTCCCTTTTCTCCTCTTCCCCTTCAGCACTTGTTACTGGTTATTTGCTGATCTTTGTCTTTTTGAGTGGGATAAGATAAAATCTCAAAGCCATTTGGATTTACATTTCTTCAATGCTAACGATGCTGAACATTTAATTTTTTTTCATGTAACGCATTTTGATTCTATTTTACCCATCACTATTCCTTCTCAGATCCTTCCTAATAATGGACATTTAAAAAAGATATTTTTTAGCCATTTTTTTTTCTTTTTTGAGAACTCTAATTTTGTTTTCTTTCTTTTGGAATTAAAGGTGTGCACCACATCTCCTGTTTTTTTCTTTTTTTCCTTACTCTTTTGTTTTCCTTTTTCTTCTCCACTTTCTTTACCCTTTTCCTTTCTCTTTCCTTTCCCCTCATTGTGACTTTCTCCTATTTGGCAATAAAATCTGTGTATAGTCCAGGCTGGCCTCAAACTTGGAGTTCTTTGTCCTCATCCTCCCAAGTTATGAGATTTCAAGTTTCATACACCACTTAGTAGACTTGTTTGGGGGCGGGCAGAGATGAAATCTCAGGGTAGTGAAATGCTAGTAAATGCTCTATGCAGCTCCTCTTGAAAGTGTATATTAACTTGCATTTGACTTTCAGGGGTCCTTTTTGGGACACAGAAATAGGAACATTGTGTTTGCTTTTATGGTGCTAAAAATTGCTCTTAGAGCCTTGGGCACGTAAAGCAGGCATTTACCACTAAACTACATCCCACTCTCCCCTGTATTTGTATTTTTGCTCATTTTGAACGAATTACTTTGCTTTCATTTGAACTGTGATTTCCTTAGCGGTATGAAAGTTTGTCATCTTATTTTTGAAACTCTTCCACTCATGTTTCTGTGTATACAGGATGTCAGTTCTTCATTCCTAGTCCGACCCCCTGGTTAAAACAAGAAGAAGAGTTCGAGACGGTGGAAATTACAGTTCCTCAACGTGAGTATGCATGTAGAAATCTGTTTGAGTTCAGTATTATCAACCATAATCAAGTTTTCTTACAACTTGATTAGAGCCATTTTTCTCAGAGTTTGAGATATCTTCCATTTTACATAATCTGTTGTTTCTCTCTATTCATGCGTAGCTGTGGTCTTACAACACCATGTGTTCCGTTTCCTAAGTTTACTCCTTCAATATTAACTGTTTTCCCAGACCTTTCTGACTTTCCTGTTGCTGTAATTGCTGTAGGATCAGTTTGTAATACATAAAATGTTGACTCTACTTTTTTTTTAATTTTATCGTTTTTCTTTTCTTTTTTTTTTTTTATTGCAGCTTTTTGTTCTTGTTTTGGAGATGCTGGGAATTGAGCCCGGGGTCAGGGCCTGTGAGGCAACCATTTTACCCACTGAGCAGTTCTGTCGCTAAATTTTTGTCATAACAAAATCCTTAAATCTGTGCAGTTACTTTCTTTCACATGTAGGAGAGAGTGTGTATGTCTATCTGTCTGTCTGCATGTCTGTGTGTGTGTACACATCCCAGCACACCTATGGAGGTCATAGAATAACTTTGGAGTCAGTTTTCTCATTTCCAAGGCTTGAACTCAGATTTTCAAGTTTGGTAACAAGGTGTTTGAGACCAGGCCTGTCACAGACCTAGGGTTTACTAACTGGGTGAGGCTGGCTGAGCAATGCGCCTGAGGGAATCTGTCTTTCTCTGCTGCTCCAGTGCTGGGATTATTAGCATCTATCACTATTCCTGGTGTTTCAAAGTGGGTTATGTAGGGTTCAAACTCTGTCTTCTTGATTTACCAACTAGCCATCCCCCCTGTTCCTCCCTTTTCCTTGTTTTCTGATACTAATTTTGAAAGTGTCGTAATATAGCCCAGGCTGCTCTTGAACTTAAGATTCTCTGGCTTTTGCCTCTCGGGCCGTAAAATCACAGTCGTGCACTATCATGCCTGTCTCACTTCATTTCCTCATCTCTTTGTTTTCCTTAGCCACTAATGTCTGAGCCATCTTTCCAGCCCTCATTTTTATTTTTTTAATGTGCCTAATTTGAAAAGAAGGACAAATAACCCTTACCACCTTTGAATTTCTTGTACATACCACTTGTTTTCTGAACTTTCTACATTTCTCTTTCTGTTTAACTTCAGAATTGGAATTACAACCCGATGATTCAGAGCTTCCGGATTACTTTAAGATGCCAAGTTCCAGTGCAGTAGAAATGGTGAGATCAGCAAAGGATTTTCTCCCTCATACTCAAAAAGGGTGGGGGGGGGGTCCCTCTGTAGAAAACTCTTTGAGATGAGAGATATTTGAGATGAATAGTCTATACCCAAGAGGAATTAATACTTCTGGAGAACTATTTGGGATATCATGAATTGGGAAATTCCCCAAATATACCATAAAGATTATGTCTCATTGTTTCTACTAGTATGTATTTCTACATATATAATTAGACATAGAAGTTTTTAGCAATTTTACGGAAGTTTATACCTTTTTAAGAAATGCATGTAATTAGCCAGTCATCACGATTTTGGCCAAGGAATTTTGTCATTCAGTTTGGAAAAAATAGAGGTCAGGAAATAAATGCATGGAAAAGAAACTGTAAAGCTCATAATGAACATAAAAATGTTTGTGTCTTCAGGTAGCTGATTCAGCCCTTCCTCAACAGTCAGGAAACCACAGTGAAGGTGACTTGTGTGACTCTAAGCCATGTGGAGAAGTGCTGGGTGAACAATTATGCCTTAACCCAGAGGTGAGCATGCAGAGCCAAGGATACAGTTCTGAGTGTAACTGGTATGGGAAAGACATTCTTTCTTTGCTCAAGGAAACCTCTACTGGACAGAACATTTCTGAGCTTAATCAGTGTGGAAAAATCTTCAGTCTGACGCCAAACATCATATACCCGAGCACTAGCACAAATGAGAAACCCTTTGAATGCACAGACTATGACACAGTCTTTTTTAATCAGCCATACTTTCAGGCAGATATGAGGCCTCAGAATGGAGGAGAACCATTTGACTGGAATAAATATGGGAATGGTTTTATTCATCCCACAAGCTTTGCTATGCATCTTCCAATTCTCAATGCAAGAACCCCCTACAAATTTGAGGAATGTGGAAAGGATTTTCAATATTTTGCATGCCTTAATAATCCCATGGGAATGTGCACTGGAGAAAAATTCTGTGACTGCAAGGAATGTTGGAAAGCCTTCACGGTTTCCTCACACCTAACTCAATATGTCTCAATTCATACTGAAGAAAAATCCAAAGTATGTAAGATATGTGGGAAGTCCTTTGCTAATTTTTCTCGACTTTCTGCACATGTAAAAACTCATAATGAAGAAAAGCCCTTTGTATGCAAGGAGTGTGGAAAGGCCTTTAAAAATATGTCATACCTTAATGATCATGTTAGAATTCACACTGGAATAAAATCATACAAATGTATGGAATGTGGGAAAGCCTTCCTTCGATGGTCAGGCCTCACTGAACACATAAGAGTTCACACTGGGGAAAAGCCTTACGAGTGTAAGGAATGTGGAAAAACCTTTTCTAGATCTACTCAGCTTACTGAACATATAAGAACACACACTGGAATCAAACCTTATGAATGTAAGGAGTGTGGGAAAGCCTTCACTCAGTACTCAGGCCTTGCCACACATGTACGAATTCATAGTGGAGAGAAGCCCTTTGAATGTAAGGAATGTGGGAAGGCCTTTACCAGGACCTCTGGCCTGATTCATCATGTGAGAACTCACACAGGAGAGAAGCCTTTTGAATGTGTTCATTGTGGGAAAACCTTCATAACTTCCTCCCATCGCACAAAACATTTGAAAATTCACAGTGGCGAAAAGCCCTTTGTATGTAATGTATGTGGGAAAGCATTTATATATTCCACATCCCTTAACATTCACATGCGAACCCATACTGGAGAGAAGCCCTATATATGTAAACAGTGTGGGAAAGCATTTGCTGTTTACTCACGTCTAAGGAAACATAGCAGAGTTCACACTGAAGAGAAGCCCTATCAATGTGAGGGTATGAGTGTTACTATTTAGCCCATCTGTTGCCACCTTTAAATATTGACAGTGACACCAAAGATCATCAAGTTAGTCTTAGCTGCTTTGTGTGGGTTATAATGGCTCACATTGGCCTTAGACATCATCCTAATTTTATGAAATAGGATTATTTAGGTGCCCCCTCAAACTTTTCTTCTTTTGGACAGTTTTGAGGATTGACCTAGAATATCACACATGCTAGGCAAGCACTCAATCACTGAGCTACATCCCTGGAACCTTTTCATGAATATCTGAATCTGAGCATTTGTGGGTCATAAATGAGGCCAGTATACAAGATGGCCTCATTCTGATGCTTGACTCTTAGTGATTATAACATTTCTAACTGCTATGAAATAATGAAACAGATTGGACCCTTTTGTGGGTTAGTGTCTTTTTAATGTGAAAATTCACAAGCCAAGGTAATATAGGACAAGTGTGGATTGTGGAAAGACACAATCCAGGCAACTACTTTGACCCCACTGATTCCAGTAAGCATCCCAAGAATTAGTCCTCATCCGTTCTTAGTAGCCAATCTATTTACAGATTTATTCCTGTGTTCCTTCATAAAATTCAGAAAGTACATTCTATCCTACCTTTTGGACCTGTTTCTGATTGAAGTGGCAGTAACTTTGTTCTCAGTGTGGTTGAGATTGATAATCTGAGGGCTTTATGGATGCTAGGTAAGTGCTCTGCTGCTAAGCTGCATCCCTCGCTGGCTCTTAACAGATTTCTCAGTTACTGTAATGTGGGTTAGCTGAGAGTTTAACAACTCCCTCTTAGCTTCAGTGGTCTCTCCTTTTACATTTTACTAAAAGTACTCAAGAGGAATCAGGTTGTTCCTTTTGAATTACAGCTGTCACATAAATTTCCAGTTTTATCACAATCTCTAGCTTCACACAAATTACAAGAATAACAGTTCTGCATTGCATATGTAATGTCTTTGTTACCATTACACATCACTGATTAGTTTTTCTTCATGTTCCTCCTTCCTAAGGGAGTCCTCACCAGAATAACCTGTACCTATCCCTCAAGTAGTTTTTAAGCTACTTGTATCTGTTTTAAGTATGTTTTACTGCAATGCCTCAGTATCATAAAACACCATAGCCAGCACTGGCAAAATGGCTCAGAAGGTAAATGTGCTTTACCTGGTTTAAATGAAATCAGGAACTGAGTTCGATCCCAGGACCCTGTCTTGTGAAAGGAGAGAGAGCTGCCGCAAGTTGTCCTCTGCTTGTACATGCATGCCACAGCTTTCACACACATCACACAGAACAGCAGAAATCAAGGTCTGCACATTCACTCTAAAAGAATGGTATGGGGTCCGCATGACGTTTTCGTGTATCTATGTATTACTGTATGTTCTCATTAGCTCACCACTTTCTGGATAAAATTTTAGGGCTGTGGATTTAGCTCAGTGGTAAAAGTCCTTGCCTAGCATATGCAAAGCTAGTTTTTATCTCCAGCCCTGGACAGATAATGTAAAGCAAATTATTTCCTCATACAAGAAGAGCATGGGAGCTAGTGAATGGTTCAGAGGGAAAAGCTCTTGCCATGCAAACTTGAGGACCAGAATTTGGATCCTGTAATTCCAATGCTTGGGAAACAAGATGGGAACGGAATCCTCATGTGATTTAGGTAACTAGGTTACTTGAATCCATGAGCTTCAGTGCAGCAAGAGACCCCGCTTCAATAAATAAAATGGGAAGTGATTGGGGACACCTGATAGTATCTTCTGGCTTTCACATGCCACATGCAAATGTGTAAACACACCAGCATGCACATACACACACATTAAAAATAATAGCATGCTTGACTCTGGTGCAGACTCGTCCTGGCATGCGATCACTTTGACATGACAAAGCCTGAGATGAGGCTTTTTTCCTCTTCTGATAAGATTGCAGCCTTGTTGGGTGAGGTTTCCACTTATTACCCTCGACTATCAAATGAAATTCTAAAGACCCTACCTGGACAATCATGTGCGGTGTATATTTAACCAGAATTTGAGAGGGTCAACAGTACATATAGATTCTTTTGATTTACCAGATAGGTAGTCATATCTGTAGATAATAATGGTATTTTTTTTCTATTTTAGTTGTTTTTTTTTTTTTTTTACAGAAATGAGTATGATGTCCAGGACACTAGTGAAAGTAGTAAAAGCATATTTTTCTGTAGAATTATAATGATATATGCTCTCCATTATACTGATTTGCTTATTAGATAGAAGGGTTTTTTTAATATCTGAATTTTGCATAATGATTTTATAGTATTTCTTTATTTGTGAAGTAAAATTCCTCTTGGATTCATGAATTGCTTTTCCTATGTCCTCTGTGATGACCATACTCATTTGCTGGTAAGAGTAAAGTACCTAGGATTTCCTTGGTTCATAATGCCTAATAAATACTGGAATGAGTAAAAGGACTCTAAAATAAAGGCAGTCATTTATTAATAGTGATGATATATTAGTTGTTTTATATTAACCTTAAATTCCTAGATGTATCCAACTTGGACATAAGGATCATTTTTGTTTTGTATGATTGCTGGGGACTCAAACAAACCCAGGACTAGCAAGCACTCTGCCACTGAGCTACAATTTAAGCCATTTATTCACATAAAGATTATCATAGCTATCCTTGAGTAACATTGCATATAAGTCCTCCTTGTGCAAGAAGAAATGGAGTATGGAACAGGTAGAGTGCCTGTTTAGCAGTGTTCAAGACCCTCAGTCCTCAGCACCACTAAAACAAACTTTACAGCTAAAAACCTGTAGATTAGAACAGTGTCATATACTACAGTGAAGTGTATTCCTCACTTTTCTAAATCCCCAATTTGTTGAGTTCTCCTGAGCTAGAATAATTGATACTTTTGGGTACCTGTATTCTGTCTTCTTAAATTCTTCGGAATCTTTTATGTTTATAGGACACCTAATATTTACACTATAATTTAAAATCTTCTTGAGTATATTTTTCTTAGGTGTGCTTTCATTTTGACATATGAAACAAAAATTTATTTTTTCTTGTATTCCTAATATTTCCTGGTTGTATAACTAACTTTACTTTGAGTCTATCTTCATTCTGCAGTGATTTCTTTGTATTTACATTGAGTTAACCTTGAAAGTATCCAGTATTCTTTTGGCCTGTATCTGTCTCAAGCAGAGTGTGTTGACACACTCTGTAATCTTAGGGATTGGAAGCCAAGGCAGGAGGATCACAGATTTAAGGGTAGTTTGAGCCTAGGCTACTTTGTGAAACACTGTTTTAAAAATACAAAAGCCCTGATTAAAACAGAAAAAACAAAACCAAATGCAACCAGAGGTGGAGTTGGGGGCCTGATAAATAATTTGGGAGGGCAAAATTGTCTTGAAATATTTAAACTTTCTGATATAGTTTTTATTCCATTGACTCTGGTAGGTATTTACATGGCTATATATAAGCTTTCTTTTTGTATCCTTAGTTACAAAAATTTTGGGGGGGGGGTGCTAAGATTCAAACTTAGGGCTTTGCACATGCTAACCACTGACTTATATCCCAGTTGTAGATGTCTTTTATACATACTTTAGTTGAAGTTTAAAACTCTGAATACTTGAAAAATCCAGATTAACAATTCTTTTTAGACCATTATGTATAATGCAATTAGTAACAAATTGGAATTTTAGCAACTTGTTTTTCTTCTGTATTTGTTGCATGTACCTTCTCTTTGTAATGATGTTTTCATTGAAATTTTACCCAGTGCTTGAAATTTATGTACTCCATTTGCTTTTAGTTGCTATTCTAAAACATTAAATTCAGTTTTAAAATAAAATCTGTTAATATTGTTTCTTTCTGAGTTTGCATACAGCCAGCATCACAGCCATAGAGACCTACACTGCCATAGAAGAAAGTCAAAGTAACAGAATTGATGTTATAGAGGATTTATTAGTAATAGATTTGCAAAAAGAGAACTTAGCTAAGGAAGTGCTGCTGCCCCCCTCCCTGAAATACCCCAAGTATGTTACTCAAGCCTGCTAGATAAATGCAAATTCGCAATGCTTGTATGTAAATGTTTGTTCACCAGGACTGTCTGAGTCAGCCCTTAGTCCATCTCCAAAAAACATACCTTTAACAGGCAGGTGCAGGGGGCAGCACAGGGTCACAACAGATAACAGCTATAAGTTCTGTTCTTGAGAAAAGCATAATTCTGCCAGAAGGACAGGACCCTAGGTCACATCATCTGAAAAGTACAATACTGGCATGCTTCAATAATTTTGGCAATATTTTTGCTGTGTGAGTCTTCCCACCTCCTTAGGTAGCCAGACTTGCAGTCTCCGGTCTCTATTTAAATGTGAAATGAAATCTGGGGCTGGGACCTAAAAGATTTAAGGATGACAGTGTATAAAATACCCTAAGGTGTACATAAATTAGTGAAATTGTCTACTTGATGCCAGCTCTTACTTGGGTGATAGCCCTATTTGGCAGTGTGATTTAGTAAAGAGCTTTTACTTCAGTTTTAAGTATGCAGTGGTTTCTTGTGGGGAAATCATATTGGCATATTGTTTCTATGGCAACACAAGCCCCTGACTGAACAAATCCATGGTGGGGACTGGGGGGGGGCACACAAAATGGGTCTCTTAACAAAAGGCCCATTACATCCTGTGAGAGATCACAACCATAAATCCTTTGAAGTTCATCAGAAGGTGGAATAATCTTTCTTTTCATGACTCACTTAAACCAATAGAAGTCAATAAAGTTCAGTTCTAAAGGTTCCTCGGTAGACTTCTGACTTTGCAGTTCTCTACTGAACTGGCTCTTCATGTCTCAAGGGAGCATCAGTATTCCACAGTGTAGAATCGTTTGGATGACGGTATTCACTGAGATGACAAGGTTTGAGTTCATTTTAGGCACCCAGGGCATTTATCAGAACCGGTAATTAAGAAAACAGTTGCTGGGAAAGATACAGACAGGGTTAGGAGAATGCTAAAACCCCAGTAGGTTTCCCACTCAAAAACCTCTAGCATCTCAAATTCCTCCCAGCATTAGGGAGGCAGAGGCAGGCGGATCTCTGAGTTCGAGGCCGGCCTGGTCTACAAAGGGAGTTCCAGGACAGGCTCCAAAGCTACAGAGAAACCCTGTCTCGAAAAACCAAAAACAAAACAAACAAACAAACAAAAAAATCAAATTCCTCCCAGGTGTTCCCGAGCCTGGTGGAATGGGGTGACGCAGGGTCGATCTGTAGGTTGCAACCTACCAAAAGAAATTTCAACACATTGAGAGGTGCAGATAATGGCAGAAGCGACACTGTCTTCTGTTCCTACTCAAATGAGCTCTGGAAAGCAAGGGTTTTAATGCGAGGGAAGCAGGCAGAAAGTTTCTGATGAGCTTTCTTTGGGCGGGGTCTGCACAGGAAAGCCTATGTTGGAAGCGCTTACATTACAGGGCCAGGGGGCCACCAATGACTTCCGCTCCGGTCCACAGCCTAGGTTCTAATTCTGTATTGTCCACGAGGCCACCACTGGCCTCCAGTTCCCGCTGTGAAGCCACTACAGCACCTCCGCCCTAGCTGCAAAGAAACCAGAAATCGTAAAACAAAGTAGGATCCGAGCTCAGCCTTTGCATCAAATGATGCGCGAGCGGAAGTGATGTAATACCGCGACCGTCTCTTCCGGTGGCTCTCTGTCCTGAGTAGTTCCCTGGAGAGTTGTGGCCTTTGTGAGTTCCGCAGGACAGGGACTCCCTGCAGGTTGATGGGGGAGGACAAAGGCCAGGGTGCTGAGCTCTGCTCTACGCGCCTAGGCGCCTCCGGACGTGGCCAAGTCTGAGGCCTCTCAGGCTGTCGGTCCCCGGGGTGGGAAAGACCGCAGAGGGCGCGTCCTGGCTGTGTCCGCAGCGCCCGCTCTTCAAAAGCCGCCAGAGCAACTTTTATGGGAAAAAAAAGCTGGTTGTTTTGTTTTTGTTTGTTTTCTCAGAAGGGAACGAATTTTCGCTGGAGTAGTTGGAGTGACCAGCGTCATAAACGTTGTGATTTCAGCGCCTTTGGTGAGCACTTAGTGAAAGACGCCTTTTGGAAAAGGCCGTATTCCTTAAAAAAAAAAAAAATTAGAAACGAATGTCTCGGGTGAGAACTTGACTCCTATTGTTGGTCTCTCTCTCTCTCTCTCTCTCTGTCTCTCTCTGTCTCTCTCTCTCGTGTGTGTGTGTGTGTGTGTGTGTGTGTGTGTGTTTTATTTTGCTCATTAGCTTCAGATAGAAAGACATACTTTTTAGTTATTTAGAATGAGTTTAAACGTTGATAGACCTCAAGTCCACTTAAGAAAACCCAGCCCGGTGTCTGCGCATGTCTTAAGTCTAAGGATGCAAGAGGGGTTCTAAGAATTCCAGGCTACCCTGTTGTATATAGAGAGTTTCAGTCCAACCTGTGCTACATAGTGAAACATAGTTTTAAAAAACAAGCAAAAGCCGGGCGGTGGTGGCGCACGCCTTTAATCCCAGCACTCGGGAGGCAGAGGCAGGCGGATCTCTGTGAGTTCGAGACCAGCCTGGTCTACAAGAGCTAGTTCCAGGACAGGCTCCAAAACCACAGAGAAACCCTGTCTCGAAAAACCAAAAAAAAAAAAAAAAAAAAAAACAAGCAAAAATCCAACAAGCAATAATAGTGAGCTATTCTGTTCATCTAAAGTTCTAGAACTGTGTTTGTTTCTCCATCCCTTTTACACCTTTGCGCTGGTGATCAGATCCAGGGCCTTGTGCATGCTACACAATTTTTTTCTTGGTTCTTAGGCCTGTTCAGCCCCAAACTGCTTAAAAATGTGGACCTTACAGAAGAAGTGTGGAAAAGCTTTATGAAAAGTTGCAGAATTAACTGTTAAGATTGATAAATTAGTGTTTTATTTCTTACAACACGTCTCCCCCCCATTTCTCTTTTAAAGAAAAATCTTAAATGTACTCGCATGTTTGATGATCCAGATATGTTGTGGTGCATCCACCTCTTTGCAGAAGTTTGTTTGCACGTTCTTCTAATAGATAAAGATATTGTATGATGATTTGTTTGCTAAGACGTAAACTGAAAATAAAGGGGGATGTGGCAGGGTTGTGGTGGCACACACCTTTAATCCCAGCTCTTGGGAGGCAGAGGATCTCTGTGAGTTCCAGAACAGCTAGGGCTACCCAGAGAAACCCTGTCTTGAAAAACAAAACAAAATTACTAGATTTGGATCAAGAAAAGCTAAAGAACAGTTGGGTATGCAGCTCAGTTGATAGAGTTTTGCTCATTATGTACAAATCCCTAGGTTGACTCTCTAATACCACATAAACTGTGTGTAGTAGCCCACTCTCCTGTAACTCCACACTTAATCTGTAGAAGCATGAGGATTAGGAGTTCACGGTCATCCTTGGTCATATTGTAAGTTGTAAGCCAACCCGAATCACATAAGATCTTGTCTCTAAAAAAGAAAAGAAGAAAGTTAAAAACCGGTTGGGAATATAGCTCAGTGGTAGAACACTTGCCTAGCATGTGTAGCCTTAGGCTCAGTTTCCAGCACCGCAAAAAATAACCGAAAATCAGCAATGGTGCCATGTGATATCTGATCTATAAACATTCGAAATTTTCCACATTGTTTAAACAACAACGAGAAGAAGCTTCTGGGTGTTTGGAGGTGTATGATCTCTTCATGATTTCTATGTTGTGCTAGACTTGGTGGCAGACACCTGTAGTCCCAACAATTGAAAGGTAGAGGCAAGAAAGAGTGTCACTGCAAGTTTGAGGTCCCGCTGAGCTACATACCAAGACCTTGTGTCAAAAAATAAAACCTAAAAAAAACCTAAAAAAAAAAATAAAACCAAAAGATGTCTATATTATACTTGTTTATAAGCCATAACGATTTCCAAGTAATTGGCTGTCTGCAGCAGCAGGCAAGCTGCCGTGCATGGTGAGCAGCTAGACACAGCATTCTGCTTTTCTCTTTGAGGCATGGAGTTCAGGCTAAGTCTTAAGCTCATTATTGGCTTTGGTTGGCTTTGAATTTATACTCCTACCACTCACCATCTCCCAGGCGCTGGGTTAATAGTCACATCTTGCTTCCGGTAAGTTCGGGTACTACAGCTTTCCATTGCCAACTCCAAGATTTCAAAAGATATGCGGAAGATAATTTGTAGATGCTCCATACTTGGATTGTATTTTATTAGGGAGCCATCCATTTCTTGTGGTCCTAACTTTGGTGCTTGCTACAGACACTGACCATCACAGCACTTGGCTTGTTGGCAGTGCTGGCAGTTGGAGCCAGGAACTTGGGTTTGCTAGGCAAGCACTCTGCACCAAGCCACAGCCCCAACACTTGGTTTTACAGATGTTTTTCCTTATAGTTTAACAAGAGGAATGTCTTGTGCCCCAGCTCTCACCCCACTTAATTTTTTTAACATCCATTAGTTAAGTGCAGTAAATACATGTCCCTGCCCTTTTTCTTTTAATTTTAGAAACGTATTGTTTTATTAGTATGTGTGCATGCTAATACCTCAGTGATGGTGACATGGTTGTGGTCAGAGGACAACTTTGTGGAGTTGATTCTTTCCTCTTATGTGGGTTCTGGTGACTCAGTTCAGGTAGACAGGCATATGCTGCAAGTGCCTTTAGCCAGTTTGCCAGCCTTCTTATTCCCCCTTTCCTGTTTTTATGGAGGTGTATTGTCACTCAGGTCAGAAGACATGTACATTTTATTTTGACATACATTAATTTTTCCCCCTTTTCCCAGGTCTTTTACCTATATAGCAGTTTCTGAATCAATCAGTCTTAAACTTCATTTAAAACTTCTGGGAAAATAAGAAACAGAATTTTAGTTTAAGTACAAGACATTTGTTTTGACAAGGGAAGCCCCTTGGCCATTTCAAGTGAATAAGAGCACTTGGCTGTACTCTGAGAAGCTGTGTTTGCCCTGGTGGCCTGTACTTCCAGTGCTTGGGGACCTGAGGCAAACAAACAAAACCATGGAGTGTTATAGATCTGCACTACAAGGACCAGGGAAACTGAGGCAGGAAGTCACAAGTTGGAGGCATTACATAGTGAGAGTCTATGTTGAATCTCTATTGTTTCCGGTGTCATTGAACGTTTGCTTTGCAGTCTTGTTCTGGTGAATCATTCTTTCTCTGCCCCTTCCCTCCAGTTCCCTCCTATCTCCTTTCCCAAGCAGCATTTTTGCTGGCTAGGAACTCAACTGAGTAAAATAAAGGGGTTTTTAAACATCAAGTTTTAGCTGTTGTTGTTTTTTTTTTTTTAATTTTTCTTATTTGATCTTGCTGTGTTGTGTACGCCAGCCTTATCCTCCTTCCTCCCGCCTCAGGCTCCTGAGTATTGTAAGTACAGGTATGTCCACCTTGAGTTAATGATTTCAAAGTGAGTCCCATTCAAGAGCTTAAATAACAATGTAATTTAGTAGATTATGTGACTACATCAGGCTTTACATTTTCATTTCCGGTTGTTGAGATAGATTCCTGCTGTGTAGCCCTAGATGGCCCTGAGCTCACTATGTAATCCATGTTTCCTCTTGTTCCTGCCTCATGACTAGAGATTTATATAATCCTATATGTCTGTGTTTTAATGTGAACAATATAAAGTGAATATGTGATAAATTTTATCATGTGTAAGTAAAGTAATAAAACAGTTTCTATATTGTGATCTACTTTAAAATTCAAAATTTATATAATTTATTTCCATACGTCAGAGAGATACATAGATAGTACCTTGTAGTGGATTACTGCAGCCTCAGTTATGGTTCTATAATCAAAGCCCCCATATACACTATTAAATATTGCTCTAATTTTATCCAGTCAACAACTTGTAAACATTTTTTACTTATATATTGGCTGATGTTTTCCTTTTAGTGACTATTTCTTTTTATTTAATTTATTTTTGTTTGTGACATGGGTGTGTGGATGGAGGTCAAAGGACAGCTTTGTAAGGTTGGTTCTCTCCCTGTCCTTCCTCTTGATGTGGGTTCTGGGGATGGCGTGGCAAGCTCTGTACTCACTGAACCATCCCACCAGCCCCTCTGTCTATTTCAAGAGCTTGTTAGTGCTAGTGTGCCTCACTCTTCCAGTGTGAACACAGTATACCTTCACGGACGCCTTTGAGGCACCGCAGCAACTTTGTCGTCACACATAGGTAGTCTATTCAGACACCATCTTAACTGCATACACTTTCCTAGGTCAGGTATGACATTGGTAGTATCTTTCAGGATTTCATTTGGCACGCTTGGCTTTTGCATTTATTTTATTTGTGTGTGTGTGTGTGTGTGTGTATGTGTGTGTAGGGGTGCTTGTGTGTGTGTGTGTATGTGTGTGTAGGGGTGCTTGTGTGTGTGTGTGTGTGTGTGTGTGTGTGTGTGTGTAGGGGTGCTTGTGCTCATATAGAAGTGCCACAGCATTTATGGACATTGACTGTTACAAACCTCTGGTTTACTGGCCCTGGCACACTGTTAGTTACACACACACTGGCCCTGGCACACTGTTACACACACACTGGCCCTGGAACACTGTTACACACACACTGGCCCTGGCACACTGTTAGTTACACACACACTGGCCCTGGCACACTGTTACATACACACTGGCCCTGGCACACTGTTAGTTACACACACACTGGCCCTGGCACACTGTTAGTTACACACACACTGGCCCTGGCACACTGTTAGTTACACACACTGGCCCTGGCACACTGTTACACACACACTGGCCCTGGCACACTGTTACACACACACTGGCCCTGGCACACTGTTAGTTACACACACTGGCCCTGGCACACTGTTAGTTACACACACTGGCCCTGGCACACTGTTACACACACACTGGCCTTGGCACACTGTTAGTTACACACACACTGGCCCTGGCACACTGTTACACACACAGTGGCCCTGGCACACTGTTACACACACACTGGCCTTGGCACACTGTTAGTTACACACACACTGGCCTTGGCACACTGTTAGTTACACACACACTGGCCCTGGCACACTGTTACGCACACACTGGCCCTGGCACACTGTTACACA